GACCAGGCCTTGGTGTAGACGAGGCCTTTTGCACCGGTTTAAGTACTTCAATTTAACATCACATTTTAAAGGGGTGTAACTCGGATAAGCCCTGAAGGGGGCGAGGAGCACGCACGGCTGTACTGGGGTTTTCCTCTGAGTTCAGCCAGACTCTGGTGTCGCTGGCTGCGCCTGTACAATGCAAACCCTTAGGCGACTGTGTGCAAGTGTGAAGCTTGTACCCCAGCGGGGAGAAAGCTCTGCCCACAGATGGCACCTTTCCGGCCCACGCTCGGGCTGCCACCTGCGCAGCTACCTGAACGGGGGACACGCTCCCCGCTTTGGCTCCCCGGGGGCAGGTGTGCGCGCCAGGCGGGGGTGCCACTTGCCCCGGGGCTGGGAGCCGAGCAGCGGCCCTTGCAGGAGGTGAGGCGAGCAGGGGTCCGCCCCGCGCTGGGCTGGAAGCAGGGAGGAGGGGCCGTGCCTCTGCACCGCATCGCCGCCGCGGGAGCCCCAGGCACGGCGCCGCAGCTGGACGCCTGGCAGGCAGGTTGCTCTGAGCGCGGCCCTGCACTTCCTGCACCGCTCCAGGCGGGACCCAGCGCGCGGAGCCCCCTCCCGGCTCGGCATGGCGTGCTGCTGGGGCGAGTACCAGGTAAGACCCCGCTGTCCGGGCGGGAAGATCGCCCGCCCGTGGCCGGCAGCAGCTGCAGCCCCCTCCCCCCCAACTCCTCCGTGGGACGCACCAAGGGCCTGGGCTGCACTGACCAGCGGTGGCCCTCGCCTGCAGTGAGGAGTTGCTGCCTTTCCCGCCCGGCAGGTAAAGTCTCCCCCTCCTGCAAGAGCGTCTGTGGCAGAGGTAGGGAGGAGGCTGCGAGCCAGGGGCACCCCCGTCGCGTCCCCTGAGGGGGAGAGTACGGGAGTCCCCTGCCCAACACACTGTCCCGTCTCCGCCGGCTCTGCAGCGGTCCTCGCTCCCCAGGCGGGGAAGGCATTTTCCCCATTCCCCTCCTCGCCCCTTTTTTTTCTGTGCGGGTTCTAGCTCTTGCTAACGGAGATCCCATTTACCTGGAGCCTCGGGGTCTTTGGGTGGCTTCCCCGCGCCCCGTCCACCCGGAACTCTCACAACTCCTGCTAGTAGTTAGAGATGGGAAAGACTCTAACTACAGCCATGCCAGTCCAGAGTAACTCCATTGAGGCTGGAGTGACTGAGATCAAAAGCTGGCCCTAAATCGAGTCCATCCCGTGGCTGGTACAGACTACAGCCCCCCTGATAGAGCTGTGAGTCCAAAAGGCTAAGAAGCAGCAAACTCACCCACTACATCAGGGGAAAAATACTTAGAAAAAAGGAGAGAAGGTGCTGGCTTAAAGTTGTTTGACAAGTCTTCTTTGCCCAGTATAGTCACATGGAAGCGCCTCTCAGGGTACTCTGTGGGCCAGGTCTTGTGCAGGAGTACGTAGTAGTCTCCGGATGTTGGTGTCAGTGGATAGCCATCATTTGTCTGGATGTGTCCCATTTTCCCTGCCCTCTAAAGTACTCTCCATTATTTGGAGGACAGTTAGGTTATTTAATATAGTAATATTGTGCAGTACATGTAAAATACAGTCACTATTGTTAAGACTACACAAATTACCAAATGTTTGACATCTTGTGCACACTAAGTTACTCTTTCACTGCTTTTCAGATGTTTGAAATTGAGTACTATAACTTTAATTGCGCTTAAAAATATTTTTAATTTTAGGTTTCTGTAGATGGGATTTCTGGACAAAGAGAATGGAGACCTCTAATTTATAGAAAATGCACAGATGTACTCTGGTTGATTTTATTCTTTCTTTTTTGGGCTGGTTTGGTAAGCATGCTATCTGTTGAAAGAGAAATCTTACTTAGAACTACTGTAAGCTTAAAGTGATTCTGAATAATTCAAGTGATCTCACTGCAGAAATTATAGAGCCTTGATCTTGTGTCCAGATAGGAGAACCTTTGTGCCTGCACAAAGCCACAATGAAATCAGTTTAGCTCCACACACCTGGTCGAAGGGTCTGCTTGCAAGGATCCAATGGCAAGCTCAGCTTCTTGTACTTAGAACAAGCTCTTTGGGGCAGAGTCTGTCTTTTTGTTATTTTTATGTACAGTGTCTAGGACAGTGTGGCCACTAGACATTACCACAATGCAAATTAATAATCATAGTCTGTTCAATTTTCTAACATCTTTTTAAAAAATTACAATTAATGCAGAGTTCTTTTGCATAAGTCTCTGGCACACTTTATAAACTAAACTGACTTGAGAAGTAGGATGAGTTTTGTATGCCACCTTGTGTTTAATGCACATGTAGATATAAGACACGTCAAACCATAGTGGTATCCGGCAATTTTATTATTTCATTATTCTTATTGCTTACTCTCTGTGATATATTTTATTATTCACATTTGAATTATGATTTCCTTTAATTTAAAACAGATTTGTGGTGACATCCAGTGTTATTTATTCACACTGGCTTTGTTTCAGGTTGTTTCATGATCTGGAAGTGCACATTATTGGCGCATACATGTTGGCACACCCTCTTGTAATTATTGAATGTTTGCAGCCAGCCATTTATTAGCAGTAATCGTAGATCAGATTCAGTGTACTGAGCTTTTTTCTTAGTTTGCAATCTCTGTGGAAGCAGTATGGGCCAGCTTAGCAAATAAAGTTCTGTTGGACTTGTAACTTCCACCTGTCAGAATTTTTCATATTTAGAAGTAGGGTCACAAAAGACTACTGCATCTCTTCTGGCTACTTTTTGAGGTAGCTGTCTGATTGCTGGAAGTATATTTACTGTATAAATAAACTGGATCTAAAAATATTTTGTTGTTGTGACAGAGTTGAGATGCACATATACGTAGCAACCTTAACTATGGAGTTACTACAATGCCATATTAAGATAAATTAAAATATAAAAATTCAGGCATCACAATAGTCAAGTGATATAAATCAGAGGTTCTCAACCATTTTCTTTCTGAAGTCCTGTTTCCCCCCGCCTCACAACATGCTATAAAAACTCCAAGGCCCAGAGAGGGGGGACTTGGGGTTTTGGGCTATAGCCACTGGGGGCGGGGGGGCTTGGGGCTTTAGCCCTGTGGGGCACCGTGGCTCCAGGCTTTGGCTGCTGGGGTGGGAGGGGTAGGCTTGGGCATAGGTATAGTTTGACTTCTCATTGGGGGGGGGGGGGCATGGCCTGGCAGGGCTTGGGCCAGGTCTGTACAGTGGGCCCTGGGGAGGAGGCGCCACCTCCACCCCCCGACACACCTTGGCAGGCCACCCAGCCAGTCTGGGTTGGGGGGAGAGTGCAACCAAAATTGTATAATCCAGCTCAGAACATTTGAAAACTGCTCAGGATGCAGGTAGGGGGCATCTAGGAGTGTGTGCAGTAAAGGTTGTAGCTCAGGGAGGAGGTAGCCAGGGGCTTTATGTGGGCAGGGGTGTAAGTCAGGGTACAGGGAGGGGGTAGCTAGGAGCTGTGTGCAGTGAGGAGTATAGCTTAGGGTGCAGGGGGGTTAGCTAGGAGCTGTGTGCGGGCAGAAGTGTAGCTCAGGATGCAGGGAGGGGGTAGTTAGAGGATGTGTGTGGGCAGCGGTGTAGCTCAGGGTACAGTGAGGGCGTAGCTAGGAACTGTGTGCAGTGAGGGGCATAGCTCTGGGTACAGGGAGAGGAGTAGCTAGGAGCTGTGTGTTGGCAGGGGTATCGCTCTGGGTACAGGGAGAGGGGGAGCTAAGGGCTTTGTGGGCAGGGGTGTAGCTCTGAGTACAGGGCGAGCGGTAGCTACGAGCTGTGTGCAGTGAGGGGTGTAACTCAGGGTGTAGGGGGGTTAGCTAGGGGCTTTGTGTGTGCAGTGAGGTGTAACTCAGGATGCAGGGAGAGGGGTAGCTAGGGGCTTTGTGCGGGCAGGGGTGTAGCTCAGGGTGCAGGGAGGGGGTAGTTAGGGGCTGTGTGCGGGCAGCGGTGTAGCTCAGGTGCAGGAAGGGGTTAGCTAGGAGCTATGTGCAGTGAGGGGTGTAGCTCTGGGTACAGGGAGAGTGGGAGCTAGGGGCTGTGTGTGGGCAGGGGTGTAGCTCTGGGTACAGGGAGGGGGTAGCTAGGGGCTCTGTGCAGGCAGGGGAGTAGCTCTGGGTACAGGGAGATGGGTAGTTAGGGGCTGTGTGTGTTCAGGGGTGTAGCTCAGGGTGTAGGGAGATGGGTAGCTAGGGGCTGTGTGCGGGCAGGGGAGTAGCTCAGGGTGCAAGGAGGGGATAGCTAGGGGCTGTGTGCTGGGAGGGCTCCCCTCCTGTGGTCGCTGCTCCCCGAGGGCTCTGCTGGCCCCAGAGCTGGGTTCATCCACCCGGGCAGGTCTTACTGGCTGCGCAAGCAGTCAAAGGGCTTGGAGCTGAGGAGCAGCTGCAGCCCCAGGCACCAGCAAAAGCAGAAAGAGGAGATGGGAGAGTGCCAGAGTTTTCCACTGCATGGGACCAGCCAGAGAAGCAACTGCCTCTGACCTGGCCAGGGGGCGGAGCCTTGAATGGGGGGAGAAGTAGGGTGGGGGAGTATGGAACTGCCCATGGGACTACCTCGCTCTGGCACTTCAGTTTGGGTGGGGCAACGCCTCCTATGCTGCCCCAACTCCGCCCATGGACTCGGGGCTTGCAGATCCCCCTGAAACCAGGCTGTGGACCCCTCAGTTGAGAACTGCTGATATAAATCACTAGACTCCGAACACCTAAGTACAAATCTGATTACTCATATGATTAAAGTAATGAATGCACTTAATTCCTTGCAGGATGAGGCTCAGTTCTGCACAGACTAATTACATTTAAAAAAAACCCCAAAACTACTTAAAAGAATATTTAAGTTGAAAGTCAAATGCTCAAAAGTTAGGAAATGCCATAAGTAAGGTTGCCTGTGCAACCTTAATTTGGTGTTTTTATGCATATGTATTATGCTACGATCTTTAATTATATGATCACATATTATTTTTTTTGCATTGGAGCCCAGCCTCCTTCAGTGAATGGCTAGTTAATCAATATTTCTTTTTTATCCTTCTCATGTCCCCAAGAGTACAGTATTTTTGTTTTTACATCACTTTATATATTCAAGCATAGCTCTAATTGACTTCAGTTGCTGCTGTGAGTGCTCAGAGCTTCTGCAAATCTGGCCACAGGTGTCTCACATTGGGCACCCAGAAAATGAGGAATACACAGTTACTGAACACCTGTGAAAAGTTTGATGGACGTGACTTATGCAGCATTATATAGGAACTCTGTTGCAGGCAGGGTTAGAATGCAGTTTTCCAGGATGTTCAGCTTCTTTAAGCACAAGACCATTTTTTCTTTTCCTGTAATTCCCTGCTTCATTAACACACCTTCCAAGTTCTGGAACAAATGTGGAAGGCAACATACTGTAGGGCCTAAGTTGTTCAAAGGCCTTGCTCTGGCCTTCTATGCAGCGGTGGATTTCACTCTGAAATATTCATTACAGTGTAAACAATGTTTGAAAATGTTATGCCTGGTTTTTCGAGCATCAGACAAAAATTATGTAGCTTAAACAAGGAATGATCATTGAATGGGGGGAGGGAAAAAAGCATAGTATTCTGTGTATCATGAATTCAAAAGAAAAAATAATATAATGTATATTTTTAATAGATGTTTATAACTGGCTATGCGGTAACAGCTGGAGCTGCAGAAAGACTTGTATTTGGGTATGACAGCTATGGGAATATATGTGGTAGGAAGAACACTTATATTCAAGGTGCACCTCTTTCTGGACAGGATATGACAAATAAAAAGTAAGTATATCAGATTTTTAAATGAATTGAATACTTGAGATTTGGTCACTTCAGTGCATATAGGCACTAAAATGCATATAGGCACTTTACTAAGAGATACAAATAAGAGAGTGCAAGAATACTAAACAGTAGCAATTCCTGATCCTGCCTTTGGATTCACGTACCCCAGGAAACTCCACCAAGACGTAATGGTCTACCCACGTGGGTTGATTGCATGTTTGGGGCCTGTAATCTTATTTAAGATGAGGCAAAAATATAGTGTAAAATGTAGCATGTGCTAGAATCACTTTTTAACTTTTAGCTTCAAAATCCAGGTGTTCCAATTTTGTGTGGAAGAACACATTACCAATTGTCATGTTTTGTACTGTTTTTAAAGATAGTGAGCAGGTTCAAAATGATATGAAAAATAGAAAGCTTGCCTTAAAAGAGAATTCTCTCCCTCCTTCCTAGACATGTGTTCTTTTTGAATTCGTGCAGTCTGGAAATTAAAAACCTTAAAATCAATTCAATCGCCTTGTGTGTATCTAGCTGTCCTCAAGAGCAACTTAACTCTCTGGAAGACATCCAGCATTTTGCAAAGAACAATGGTATGTAGTAAAGAGTATGAATTCCTTAATCTGTGTCTGGAAGTGTTATGCAGTTTTTAATCCTAGAAAATGTACTCCTGTTTGAAATATGTTGCATTGGATATTTACTTCTTTGACTTAATCAAATAAATTAATGATAATGGAAAGCATGTTCTAATTCATGCTTATTTAAATGTTTTAGTTATCAGAAATTTTATGGATCTCTTGTGTGTATAAAACTGTTGTATGCATTTCTGCACAGGACTGGATTGTTCAGCAGAAAGGTGGCTATTGAGGACAAACTAGTTTAGATTGGAGAGAGAGTTAGTGAATGGATGCCGTTTGTATGCTTGAGAAATCTGCATTGACTTTGAATTGGATCCTTCGAATTCAATTAAAACTATAGCAAAACACTATTATTCCATTGACGTATCAGATCTGAGAGCCCTTTATATGTAATGAGTTTTGTTTTCAGAGCCAAAGTGGAATCATTTTGATTTTATTCTGATACTCTAAATAAACATAGACAAGTAGCTATTGTGCAAAAGCAGTTACTTCTTTTGCATTGCTTTCCAACATTTAAATATAGTAAGCTAAAATCGATCCCTACCTCAGCGGTACATTACACAGCTTAGACTCCATACTCAAGATACCAGAGAAGTGAGACAAAAAATTACCTAGCCTCTACCCAGTGTTATCCATGTATAGAATACAAAGCTGAATGTGGAAGTCTGAAATGCTCCTTGGAGAACCCCAGTAGGCACAATTAAGAAACCATTTATATACTTATCCAGAGCATTTTGTAAAAAAGCCCAGGGTTTGAGTTCTCTGGGCACAAGGCAGGGAAGTTCTGATTCTAAATCTGGTTCTTTTTCTTTTTCAAACAATAAACTACATAAACCTGGCCAACACTGCTTGCTGAATAGAGTGTTTGGCATTTGGCAGGCAATGACTAGTGCTCTGAGAATTGTTCTTTGATTTTCTTAGATTGGATGGCAAGAATACCTATTTACAATGACTTTTTTATGTAATTTTGAGATATTTGATTATTATTTGATGCTTTTTTTATGTACATAAAGACCTGCATACCCCAGTGATGCTCCTTAAATAATTTCAGCATAACTGAATTGCAATACATGAAACTCCATCCACATTTAAAGAATTTGCATATCTGTCTTTAGAGAGATTGCAATATTGCATTTTAATTGGTTTGAGTACATCCAAGCATTGCTTTTTCACTAGCATTATGGTAATGTAGTGTTTTACCAGCAGAGGGCCTGAAGATACTGGACTAAAGTTCTTGGGTCTGAGGCTGGCCGATATTTTATTCCATTCTAAATCATTAAGGGCCCAATCGTGCTTCAGTTTACATTAATAAGGTTTTTGCCATTTTCTTAGTGGGAGCAAAGAAGACTCTAAATACCTAAATATGGGGGTATTTGTGTGCCTCCAGTCTGGAGGATTGGTGATAGATGATGACAATGAAATGCAGAAGATAAGGCAGAAATAAAGCTGTGCTCGTTTCTCTTAATAAATTCACATAGCTTTGGAATCTAAATTTTAAAGATTCGGTATTAATGAAAATGAGAATTGGAGCTAAATTCAGAGGTGACTCTAGAGCAGGGGTCTCAAACTCAAATGACCACGAGGGCCGCATGAGGACTAGTGCATTGGCCCGAGGGCCGCATCACTGACACCCACCCCTTGCTGCCCCCGGCACTGCCCCCACTCCGCCCCTTCCATGAGGCCCCGGCCCTGCCCCATCTCTTCCCTGCCCCCATTCCAACCCCTTCCCCGAAGTCCTCACCCCAACTCTGCCCCCTCTCTGCCCCAGGCGGTGCAGGAGGGGTGCAGGGTGTGATGGGGGCTCAGGGCAGGGAGTTGAGGTGCAGGAGGTGTGCAGCAGGGGGCTCAGGGCAGGGAATTGGGGTGCGGGAGGGTGTGGGTTGTGGCAGGGGGCTCCGGACAGGGGGTTGGGATGCGGACTCCGGCCTGGTGCCGCTTACCTAGAGCGACTCCAGGGTGGCAGCATCTCACTGAAGAGAGAGGCTCAGAACTATGGCAGGAGGGCAGGGGAAGGGCAGCCTGCCCTGGCCCTAGTGAAGAGGGACAGTAGGACCTGCCGGAAGCCAGCAGCCTGCAGAGCAGAGCGGATTCAACATGTGCTGCATGCTCCAGGCTCCGGGGCAGTGAGGAGGCAGCAAGTGGGTGCCGGGAGACACTCTGGGGGGGCACGTGGGGGTGGCAGGTGCCCCAAACATTGGGGAGCAGCGCAAGGGGAGCTTAACAGAAAATAACTCGGGGGGCGGGGGTGAGGGGAGTTTGGCGGCGACAGGAAGTAACGGGGGGGGGGGGTCTGGGGAACTCCACGGGCCGCAGGGAAGAACTCCATGGGCCGCGGGCCGCATGTTTGAGACCCCTGCTCTAGAGGGAGCTGAAGTTGGTGTACTGTAATTCCACCATCTTCCCAACCCTCCAACGTATATATTGCTCCAACTTAAATTCTCCATAGGCTCCCTTAGACTTACATGTAATAATGTATAATTTGCATTCCCACTTAGTTGACCAACAGAGTCGAAGGGTACATGCAGACTACCCGCCGAATCAGCAGGTAGCAATCGATCCCCGAACGCGCTCCCGTCGACTCCGGAACTCCACCAGGGCCAGCGGCGGTAGTGGAGTCGATGGGGGAGCCGCGGCCATCGATCCCACGCCGTGAGGATGGGAAGTAAGTCGAAATAAGATACATCGACTTCAGCTACACTATTCCCGTAGCTGAAGTTGCGTATCTTACATCGACACCCCCCCTCCCCAGTGTAGATCAGGCCTAAGGCAATGTAGATGGGTGAAACTTGTACACCAAAGAGAAGTGTGTAGCAAGAAGAAAAGCCTCCTCCCCTTCTTGAACATACACATCGATACACCTTCTTCTGTCGCCATAGCATTTAATTTACACCAATGTAGACTCAATTACATTGTTTTACACATCAGCAACTGGGCGGTGATGATGCTAGTCACCTGGATTTTCAGGATGACTGTGACAATTGTACTTTTTACTAATGGGTCTGTGTGTGACTCTATGGACCAGTTTGGGAAGAACATTTACCGTGCTGGCCACGGAGCTATTTGCCTGGTTGTATTGATTGAGCTGCATGTTGTTTCTGTGCCTGGGGCTGTGCTTCCAGTTGCTTAGCATGATTCCTCTCAAAGTCGAGGACATGTTGCCTTACGGCGTGGTACCATGTAATATGATTTAAGGGTAAGATTCTGTCACAAGCATTTTTAGTAAAAGTCAGAGACAGATGCAGGCAATAAAGAAAAATTCACAGAAGCCCACAACTTAAGCCCTAACTTTAACTTTTACTAAAAATACCCAGTCATCGGCGTAGAGCAATTCCTGGATCAATGTGTCTGTCGCTTTGGTGTTCGCATGTAGATGGGAAAGACTGAAGAGCTTACAGTGTAAAGCTCATAAAGATGCAACTTGAAGAGCCACAAAAGGCTTCCTCTAGCATTGCAACAATGACTACAACAAAAAGACTGGGAGCTAGGACAAATACTTGCTTCACCACATTTGTGATCAGAAATGAGTCTGTTTAGATCACCATCAACGGTAACTAAGGCTATGTTTTAGTCACGGGTATTTTGAGTAAAAGTCATGGACAGGTCATGGGCAGTAAACAAAAATTCATGGCCAGGGACCTATCCATGACTTGTACTATATACCCCTGACTAAATGGGGGGGGGATGCAGGGGGTGCCGTGGGGGGGGGAAGAGGGCAACCCGGGGGGACACCACGGATGCTTGGGGGAGGCAGCCCAGGACCCCCGCTAGTGTTGGGGGGAGGGGTTGGTAGCGCTGGCAGGATCCCTACCCAACTCCTCGCGGCTCTCCGAAAGTGGCGACATGTCCCTCCCTCCCTCTCAACTCCGCACGCTGTCCCCGCCCCAAGTGTTGGCTCCGCAGCTCCCATTGGCCGGGAACCTCACGTGGAGCTGGCTGAACCCTCCTCCCCCTGCGCAGAGCTGGCCGAACCCCCTCTCCCTTTCCCCAACCCTTCCCGCACAGAGCTGACCTGAGCCCTCTTTCCCTTCCTCCCCCTCCCCCTGCGTGGAACTGGCCAAACCCCCTTCCCAGGGGAGGGCGGGGGAGCTGTCCCAACCCTGGCTGCTGCTCCGGTGGGCTGGGGGCCAGTGCTCCAGCAAGTCCAGGCCAGTCAACTGTTGGGTGGCCCCAGGAGCTGACTGCCAGCTGGCTGTTCCCGGAGCTGCTGTTCTGCGACTGGCTGGTGCTCCAGCAGCCTCAGAGCTTACCGCGGCTGCTGTTCCTTCAGCCCCAGGGCTGGCCACTGGCCAGCTGTTCCGGGGTCTGCTGCTCCGGCCCTGCCCCAGAAGAAGTCATGGAGGTCCTGGAAAGTCATGGAGTTCATGATCCTTATGACCTCCGTGACAGAATTGTATCCTTAGTCGTGATATATTCCCCAAAGTTGGCATGTAATATATAATATATCATCATTAATATTCCTGTGTAACTTATGTGTGGGGTGTTTACAAAGAGTTATAAATATGCACTAGAAATATATTCTTAAAATGTGTTTGGCAAGCAATGCATAAGCACAATCTGCCTTAGACAAAAGACTGTGTCATTTCCTTACCTGACCAGCCTGGTCGTCAGGCAGACAGTGAAGGTACATTTACATGCAAGGTAAAAAAAAAAAGGTGTCAAATTAGCAAGTGGGGGAGGTAGCCTCTTAACAATAAAGACTGGGGTTCTGAACCTCAAATGATAAGCAATTGAATCAACTGATTGTGTACAATATTACTATATTCTAAAATTGTATCGAATAAGGTTTTTTTATGAAAGCCAGTGACACTCTGGTGATTAATATCATTGTGAAATGTATGTATCAATACCCTAGGAGGAATCATGGATACTCGCTGATATTATGCTATGTCTGTGATCAAACACAGGGAGAAACAGGTTTTCTTCCAGACGGGAGGAAAGGCAGCTATCTACCTGTCTCCAATGTAAATTAAGCAGTGTGGAGTCAAAACAATGGAAGCCCCATTTAAATATAGATTAACATGAGGATAGAAAATCCAGAAGAAGGGAAGAACAGCAGGAAGCCTTCTAGGCTCTTGAGGCAGACACAGTGAACTTTGTGGTGATATAAGGAGGGCAAAAAGATACGTGAGTTGCCCATCACTTGGGGGACTGAAGGGGCGAGAGCTGGATCCTTCAGCCAAAGGGGTTGAAGTCTCTGGGAACTGAGTTTGGTGAGAAACCTGCTTAGGCAAAGATTGTAACTTGCTTGTAAGACTAAAACAATTTTCAGCATATTTTTACTTTTGTTTGTTTGTAGCCTTTTATGTCTTTATTCCTTATACTGGATATCACTTATCCTATGCCCTTTTTAAAATAAACTTGTTTTATTTTTACTATAAACCAGTTGAGGGCTGTGACTGAAATTAGTGTGTTTGTCAAACCCCAATTAAATTAGTGAGCTGCATTTTCTCTTTGAAGGAGCAAAGAACTTATTAAGTTCCGTGAGTGTTCCAGGAGAGGGCTGCATGCTGCAGGGAGACATCTCTGGGGAACTTGGGAGTTGGGGTTCACTGTTTGTTATTTGTAGGGCAAGGTTTGGGCTGGCAGAGCCCTGAAGAGTTTGCTGCCAAGGCACACAAGCTGGTGTGTCAGGGAATTTTCATACTGCTTAGCAGCAGCAAAATTCTCACTTGCTGAGTCAGAGAGGATAACTCAGTTCTGGGCCCTCCGCAGATTGGCAGATGATTTTAGGGAAATTCAGGACGGGGAAGGTATTAAGTTTATTCTACAAATAGTAACTGGGCGGTGGAAGCCAGGGTGTGACCTGCATGCTTGTGTGCAGGCTGTTGGTGTCAAGGCTGTGAACCACAGAAGCATAGTTTTGAATGCACCAAGAGGTGCAGGTGGTGACACAACCCGTTACTGGTCTGAGTTGAACTCCAAAATGTCACACCCTCATCAGAGTTAATCATTGTCAGTGTTTAAGACCTGATCGGTGAAGTGTAACATTCACCCCTTGGGAGAGTCAGAGTTCCCAGTCCGTTGTTCATACTGACGGATAGGCTGCCCATACTGACGGATAGGCTGCCCAAACAAGAGACACAATTCCTTCTGATTGCAAAGCCAACTCCTGTGTTGTGGGGCTCATTTTGTGGGTGTCCCTTCCAGAAGAAAGTATACCTAGCATGCTCCTCAGCCAGTTGATCCTCTTCAGCAAGTCACATCTCTCTGAGCTGCAATGTGGATACAATATCTTTCAAGCTCTTGAGCAACTGAAGCAGTCCACCGGGCAGGACCATTAGTTTGGTTTGGACAGTTAAGGGGTGTATGAACAGTCCACCTTGCAACATTGAAAGAAAGGAAACTTTTCAAGGTGTGTTTGAATTTTGACTGCCTCTGGCTTCGGTGGGCCGTTCACGATGAGCAATTTTCAGGAGAACTTTTCTAGCACCCTCCTTTGATTGAGGTCAGCTGTGCTATTCCTGATTAGAGCAGTTGAGTCAATCAAGATGCTGCTTGACTATAGTATCACCCCAAGTCAACGCAGAGTCTTGACCTGCCCACGTGCAGGTTCACAACTATGACTCCCAGCGATGTCCATCACCTCTCACTTTCACCATTCCCCTATCACTCTGGGACTTATTAAACTTTCAAAGGCTGTACCAGAAATTGTGCAAGGTGGAGGAGCAGTTGTATACCAACTCACATACTCTCTCGATCAACAAGACCATTTCCAGTGGCAAAGTAAATCGAGACAACTGAAGGACTTGCTAGTTGCATGTTTATTTTCAGAGTGTCCTTCTCTTAAATCAGTTGCCCAATTTCCCAGGCTAACAAGCTTGATCTGCCCAGCAAATGGGTATAAGTAAGTCTAATTTGCACCATGTTCCACATCATCTCTGAATTTGGCCCTAAGGGGAGGCTTCTCGAGGTATGAGAAATCATCTGAGTTTAGAGAAATTTGGATTTTTCCAGTGTTTCTGTTAGTTACATCTCCTAAAAGAAGTTACAACAATGTTCTGTTAGTTGCATCTCCTAAAAGAAGTTACAACAATGTAGTGATAAAAGTAGGAAAAACTGAAAACATTACTCTCTCTAGAGAACGGATAAGGGTTTGATCTTGATTCATGAAACTGTTATCTGGACTGTTTAAGATTTTAATCTGTCTCCTAAACAGAACAGTGTTTAACATCATGTTGTTTTTTTTAATTTAAATACAGAATTATTGAGGAAAAACACTAGTTTTGCTAATTAATATTTATTATGTTGCACAAAATCTTCAAAACAATGATTGATTTGAGCAGCCATGTAATTAAGTGCTATTTATAGAGATTTTTAGTATTTTTAAGAAGTGTGTTTTCTGCCCAGAAATGGATGTGAACTAATAACAAGTTACCATTTGTGGGGTTTTTATTCTCTTAGGTTCTTGCCTTTGTATGTATAACTTGAACATTTCCAGTTACACGCTAAATCCAAAGGCGGCTGAGTTGTGTCCCACTCTGCCAGTTCCACCAAGGTAAGAATTACTGTGTGCTTTACTGCACTGTTTATTCGAGACAACTTTTCAAAGACTGTCCTTCCCATTTAGTCTTTGACTTGATGCATAACAATCAGAATTATTTTACTTTAATATCTTTGATTTTATATTTTTGAATTCTCATGTTTATACATACACACACACACACACACACACACACACACACACACACACACACACAGTTCACTACCCCTGTTCGGCA